CCCTGCTCCCCGGGCGCGGGGTTTAGGCGCCGATCTCCAGCCAGGAGCAGAGTTCAGAGACCTGGGCGGTGGCCCCACCACTCTTGGGCTCGGAGCCCGCGGCGCTCAGCTTGTGTCCTAAGGCGGTGTCCGTGACCTCGCCAGCCTGGGGCACCGGGCAAGCGGCCCCACCCTGCTCCCCGGGCGCGGGGTTTAGGCGCCGATCTCCAGCCAGGAGCAGAGTTCAGAGACCTGGGCGGTGGCCCCACCACTCTTGGGCTCGGAGCCCGCGGCGCTCAGCTTGTGTCCTAAGGCGGTGTCCGTGACCTCGCCAGCCTGGGGCACCGGGCAAGCGGCCCCACCCAACTAGGAGTAGAGAGCTCGGGTAGATGCTGAAGACTGAGGCGGGGTGGGGCGGGGGTAACTCCGTGGTAACTCGGACTCGGAATCCGCCGCCAGTGCAAGGTCAGGTTGCTGGGGCCGCCAAAGCCCCAGCACGTCCGGAGCGGATTCTTGGGAGCGAGGGAACCCCGGAGCCCCGCGCGGGCGCATTTTCTCGAGGGACGATGGAGAGAAGGGCTTCGTGGGGGAGGTGCACCTACCCCGCAGATTCTGAAGACGATACTGGGTGTCGGGATTCCGCTGAGCATGGTGCGAGCAAAAACGAAGCAGGCGGAGTTGCGATCCGCTCGCATCTCCCAGCGGCTTTCGGAGTAGGATCGCCCATCCCCTGCATTTGACAAACGGGGAAACCTAGAGCTGGAAGAGATGGGCATCTCCAAAGCCACATTGAGTGGTCCTGGAGGCGGGGAGTGGACCCCCACCCCCCGGGCTGCAGAAGCCTTGCAGGGCTGTCTAGAAATAGCAGTGATTTGTAAGAAGAGACCGGTCGGTTCCAGCTTGGCCACTCTGGGCTGCCTGCCTGCAGGTCCTCTCGGATTATCTCCCCTTGGAATGGTGCCGTGCTTTAGAGATGCAACCTGTGCGGAGCGGGGCTGGATGAGCAGGCTGGAGGCTTCTCTCCTCTTTAATTTGAGGGTTCCACCGAGTATCTTCTAAACTTCCGGATCTCTGGGCCTCATCCCCTCTGCAGCTATTTCTGCACTTCCTGTACTGACAAAATTTCCCCCTAGCAGGCTTCACGCCTTTGCAACCAGCACCAGGGCAGAAGTTGTACGGGGCCCTTCCTTCCCGGTTGGTTAACCGCCCCCCGTTTCCTGGTATGGCGACTTGGCAGTCTGGCGCTGGCCACCCGCCAGGGGCTGCCAGCTGGCTTTCACGTTGCTCGTGTCTGCTTCAGGCGCTAGTAAAGTCTAAAGTCTAACTAGGAGCTCGGTAACTCAGGATAGCTCCTGATGCTCTGCTCTCGGGGCGGGGCTTCCCCAGAATCCGACCTCGTGCCTCTGACCAGCCGCCGCTTTGGGACTGGCACTCAGTTCCCGAGCTCCCTGCAGTGCGCACGCGCACAAGTTTTTTGTGCCTGGCGCCCCAGATCTTGATCTGGGCGTGGCCTTAAAAGCTGGGGGCGGAGTGGAAAAGCCTTTGCACGCATGCGCCGGGGCCCCTAGCACATTCCTTTGCTACCTCATGGCGGTTGGGATCGCTGGGGTCGCTTTCCGCCGGTGCTTTTTTTGGTCCTGTCTTGAAGGGCTTGGGGCTGTACTTGATACAAGTCCCTGTGTGGATGGAAGAGAGCCGGTCAGGCGACACACAGTAATCTTGTTTGCGGAGAGGCCTGCCCTGCCTGAGGTTAATAAGGCAAGATGAGTGAGCCCTCAGGAGGTTTTACTTACACTGAAACATCAATATTATTTTTCCATGCCAAGGTGAGGTCCTTTACCCCAAGATCCTGGCCAGACTAGACGCTGGCATTAGGTCTCCGTACTCTTTTTAGCTGCCTTTGTTTCCCTGCCCTCTTTGACGTCTCCTGCCCATTTTAGTGGCAAATACCCAAAAGAAAGTAAAATGACGTTTTCCCCCCTAATACAGCTCCGTAATAATTTCACTAAAGTGCAGTGACACCGAATATTTTCCTTCTGTAGGTTCCTTTGGGTTCTAAGTCCAAGATGGCCAATCTCAAGGATCAGCTGATTGTGAATCTCCTTAAGGAAGAACAGGTCCCCCAGAATAAGATTACAGTTGTCGGGGTTGGTGCTGTGGGCATGGCCTGTGCCATCAGTATCTTAATGAAGGTAAGAGAGTTCACCACTCTTCGCCCTACCTTCTTCTATGACTTCCTCCTGGAATTGTATTATTACATTGTATATGAAAAGATTTAGGCTCATATACTCTCAAAATTTATGTGAAACAACACTTGGAAACATACTGATATAGCAGAAGGGTTATTGAAATAAAAGTAGTAAAGGGCTAGGCAGTCAGTTCCTGAAATACATTGTATTAGCATGCCTGTTGATGAAAATAGTCCGTGGCTTTAAAGGACCAGCTTTTTTTGGTTTTTTGAGACAGGATCTCACTATGTAGTTGAGACTGACCTGGAACTCACTATGTAGCCCAGGCTGGTCTCAAACTCACAGCGATCCTCCTGCCTTAGCCTCCCAAGTGCTGGGAAGGGACCAGTTTTTGTTTCTTTTTTTTTTTGTAAAGACCGAGTATCTCACTGTTAGTCCAGGATGGCCTGGAATTTGTGATTCCCCTCTTATCTCTAGGCCAAGTGCTGAGATTACAGTCATGTGCCACCAAGCCTGGCTTGAGCCAAAACCTTTTTTTTGCGGGGGGCTGGGGATGGAACTCAGGACCTTAAATAGCCTCTAAAAACTCTTTCATTAATTTTAGTGTTTTTTGTTGTGTTTTTTGTTACCTGAGATTGAACTCAGGACCTTGCACTTGTGAGGCAGGTAGTGGAACCACTGAGCTAAATCCCTGGCCCTCTTTTATTTTAAAAATTGAAAATGACCTGTACTTGTGATAAAATCATACTGAGTGGAGAATGTTAAGCTGTCCTGACCAAATCCCTTGGCCCTCTTTTACACTGCAATTTTGAAAGTAAAATTTAATTAGAAAAAGAACTTGTGAACAGAGAACACTACTTAACTCCATTCAAGTCAGGTAATTCAAAGTGTAATTGAAGCAACTTCTGCATTAAAATATTCTAACTTCATAGTTGGAATTTCTAATAGGGCAACAAAGTGATGAATATATCTACTGGAATAGAAACTGATGCCTTTCCCCACACATGAACCCGCTATGGTCCTTTTTTTTTTTTTTGCCTCTGATTCAGGTGTGGGATCAAGTAACTACCAGACTACTATGATTGTTTTTTTGGTATCAGGGATCAAACTTGTGCTTGAGGCAGGTGGCAGAATCATTGAGCTAAACCCCTGGCCGTAGACCACTCATTGTAGATGATTTGGGGGTAGATCTGTAGTGCTAATGGTAGATCACCCTCCAGTAGCATTAAAGCAGTTGTTGGTGTTCTGGGTCTCAGATGCACCTATGAACTTTTAAATAGTTTCAACTGGCAGAATATTTCTTGCCACTATAATGCCGTATACAGGTCTTCATGCAAAACTACTAGAAATTTGCATGTATGGAAAATAAACAGAATGATCCAGCCTGTCACTTTTGAATTCCATGTCTTAATATTGGTCATTATCACCTATTTAATATATAACAGCCTAAAATTGGTATAAACTACATTTTTTATGATGAGTAAAGCTGCTTTACATAACTGGAAGTTGTTTGAACTTTTCCTATGCCAAAAAATAAAGAAAATTTAACTTTTTTGGGGGGGTGGTTCGGGGATTGAACTCGGAACCTTGAGCTTTCAGGGTAGTCAGTGGCACCACTGACCTTTGGGTTTTTTTTGTTTATTTGTTTTTGAGGCAGGGTCTCCCTGTGTAGATCAGGCTGACCTTGAACTCACTGTACAGCCCAGGCTGGCTCCCAGTGGTCCTCCTGCCCCAGCCTCCCAAGTGCTGGATTACAGGTATGCACCACCATGCCTGAGTACTATAGTTAACTATAAATTTTATGTCTTTTAGGACTTGGCAGATGAACTTGCTCTTGTTGATGTCATGGAAGACAAATTGAAGGGAGAGATGATGGATCTCCAACACGGCAGTCTTTTCCTTAGAACACCAAAAATTGTCTCTGGCAAAGGTTGATTTCAACAAATTTATATTATAGTCCATGCTAGACTTAAATTCTTATCAGGCTTGAAATGTTAAGCCCTTCAAAGCTTTTATATATATATATATATATATATATTGAATTGGAGAGCCTTAGGATAATTTCACATTGGTACTTACAGATATCCAAGTTTTAATCTCTCGTAAATGGTTTCAAATGGAAATTCAGTTTGTACATGTTGTGGAAACCATCTGGATTAAAATGTAATGAAGAAAACTCTGGGTTTGCTTTTAACCCCATTATGTCAGTTTTAAATTAATGAATGAATGAATTTTGCTGGGGATAGAACTGAGGCCTTGCACCTGTTAGACAAGTGCTCTACCTCTGAGCTACACCCCTAGTCTTGCTTCACATCCTTAGGTGGTTTTACTACCACCACCCACCCACCCTGACCCCTCTTCCTTTCAACATTAACACAAGGCTCAGAATAGGGTAAATGAGTCTGTTCACATAATTTTGGCTTAGCTCTTTCATGCTTAACTAGCACCAGCCAGGAAACTGAGATTAGCCCACATAATGTCCATTTGGCCCTTGAAATTCAGCCCCTTTCCTGATAGACAGCTTCTTGGTTCAACTCTCCTGCCACAGGGTGCAGAAGCAACAAGTGCTTTGTTATAAAGGTGTCTGTTTAAGGGTGGGAGGATTGATGGTCTCTTGACAACAGGTAGCTGAGTGAAAATAGGAGTATGGAAAAGTGAACATTGAGCCTAGGTAGCAGAAATTGGGGGTATATAAGGAGTTGTCAGGACAATCAGTCAAACTTGATTGCTTTTAGTTCCTCTTAGTTACATTAGGTTACAACATGACTTAAAAGCTAGACTACAAGGAAAGTATTGACTACTTTTTGCCCACTTACAGGGCCACAATTATAGAACTTGAAAAACTAAAGGAATGATGTAGAAGGCAAAAGGGGTGTGTATATATGGAATAAACTTTGCTGCCTAGGTTAAAACATTCTCTTAAGGGTCTTACTCTGTTCCTTGCTTCCCTTTAGACTATAATGTAACGGCAAACTCCAAGCTGGTTATCATCACAGCTGGGGCACGTCAGCAAGAGGGTGAAAGCCGTCTTAATTTGGTCCAGCGTAATGTGAACATCTTTAAGTTCATCATTCCTAATGTTGTAAAGTACAGCCCAAACTGCAAGTTGCTTGTTGTTTCCAATCCAGGTGAGGTTTTTAACTTTATAAAGACATATGAGCTATAGAAAAACTGGTAGAATGTGCTATATCTTATATACACATTTATTGATTCATTTCTCATACTTCCCTCCTGGGAGTAGATGTGTGTTTCTGTAAAATAGTAAATTTTGAAATGTGAGAGGAATGTAATGTCACTGAACATAGCTGGAACTTACTTGCCCGAGATCTTAGTTATGTTTATGAACAGTTATATTCTACTAACTGGTATACAGTTTATGTTCATGAAACAGTATAGTACTTCTTAAGATGGCCCTGAGGTAGTACAAAGATTTAATGTTAAGTTAAACCATCAAATAGTCACAGTCAGTGTTAAAATCATTCAGAATTGTGTCTCCTGAGACAGGGTCTCCCTATGTAGTTCAGGCTGGCCTTGAGCTCGTTGCAATCCTTCTGCCTCAGCCTCTGAGTGCTGAGATGACAGGCAGGTGCCCGTACACCCGGCCCTGAGCACGTATCTTGTGTATCTCATTGTCTAGTGGATCACCTAGTTTTTGCCTAAATATTGTCTTCGCAGTGGATATCTTGACCTATGTGGCTTGGAAGATAAGTGGCTTTCCCAAAAACCGTGTTATTGGAAGTGGCTGCAATCTGGATTCAGCCCGGTTCCGTTACCTGATGGGGGAAAGGCTGGGAGTTCACCCACTGAGCTGCCATGGATGGATCCTTGGAGAGCATGGAGACTCTAGTGGTGAGCATTAGTTGATTGTATATTTGTCTGCCTCTCAAGTGCAAGATCCTTGGTTTGATCCCTTGTACAAAAAAAAAAAGTTGATTGTATATCAAATTCTTTGGCATTTCATTATTAAGCAAGAACCTAAATCGAATATCCATAAATAAAGGTAGAATGGTTTCCTGGAATTTACCATTTGTATAATTATATGCTAAGAATTAAGATTTTTAAGGGCTGGGATTTAGCTCAGTGGCACCATGCCTACCTCATAAGAGCAAGGTCAAGAGTTGATTCCCCAGTACCAAAATTACAATTTTTACTATTTTATATGACTTTTTGTTCTGTACTGGAAATTGAACTCAGAACCTTGTGCTTGCCAGATAGGAGCGGTGCCTGCCACTGGGCTAGATCTCCAGCCCTTTATATGACATTTTACAGCAAAGAGAGTAGAGGAGGAAATTTACTTTTTTTTTTTTCCCCCCTCCAACTTTACTTTTACTTTATGTAGCTAGCTATTTTGGTGCAAGATTGAACCCAGGCCCTCTTGTATGATAACCACATGCTCTTTCTTATCTACCACTGAGCTACACCCCAGGCTCTGGACACATTAAACTATAATTCTTAGGTCCTTTACTATCTACTGCAGCTATTTATACTTGGCTTCCACTGGTGCCTTGAAGGTCAGCCAACGTGAATGGAGGGCACGAGAGCATTCTGTTGCAGTCATGGTTGAAAGGTGACACAGTTCGTGCAAAGTGCTCAGAGTTCTTTTATGTCAAGAAAATTTCTCATGTTTGTGTACTGGTTTTGTATTTCAAGTATATATGGGCTAAATATTTCAATAGGTTAGAAAAACAGGTTAAAATATATAATTCTTAGTGTCCTATATCTCAAGAGATAGAAATCTAATAAATGTGAGAAAGGACACCTGCTGGATGGCATCTACCCTGTTGCCCTCAAAAGTAAGATCTAACCGGAAAATAATCGAGTCTTGAAAAGTACAGATCAAAAATGCCGGCCCTAGCTGGCTTGTCCTTGCCGTACCTGCTGCCATCACAGAGTAGCCACAGAGCAAGGGAACCCTGAGGTACAATTCATCGGTATCCATCAGTAACGAACAGCTAGGGTTTATGGGGATGCACGAAAATAAACATGTGCTATACTGTTCTTTTCAGTGCCTGTGTGGAGTGGAGTGAATATTGCTGGTGTCTCCCTGAAGAATCTGCACCCCGAGTTGGGAACAGACGGGGATAAGGAGCATTGGAAAGAGGTTCACAAACAGGTGGTTGACAGGTAATAGATTCATAATAGGCAAAATGGAAAATTCAAATTTATTTTTATCTGAAAGATTGAAATTTTAATACAATTTGTACTTTGAGTATTTGAAAATAGAAAATTTCCTTTATTAAGCTTTTTCTTTTAGATCATACAAAGTTAACCAAAAAATGGTTTAAAAAAATACTGATTGAGGGCTGGGGATTTAGCTCAGTGGTGCTGCTGCCTGCTTTGCAAGTGCAGGGACCAAGTTTGTCTCTGGTACAAAAAAAAAAAAATACAGATTGAGCCTCACAGAGAGCTCGTGCTTGTACTCTGAGCTACTTGAGAAGATGGAGGGCCAGGAATTTAGCTCAGTGGCATCACACCTGCCTCACAAGCACAAGGTCCTGAGTTCGATCCGTGGTACCCAAAGCAAAAGATGGGAAGTTGGGGCATTTTGGGAAACCTTGTCTCAAAAGGGCTAGGGACATGGATGAATGGTAGAGGCCCCCCAGGTCTGATCCCCAGTGTGGACGGGAGGAGATAGCACCCAGGGCTGCCAGTGAAGTGGAGCTGCTGGACCCCTCCTGTGTGTTGGCGGGAATGTAAAATGGTCCCACCACTCTGAAGCAGTTTGACAGTTCCTCAAAAAGTGAAATATCAGATATATCATACAACCCAGCAACTTCAGATAATGAATCCCAGAGAAATGAAACTCAGCACATGAATAGGTAAAGATATTTATTTAAAACTACAGACATTTTTGTTAAGGTATCTTTGGGTTTTTTTGAGACAAGAGTCTCACTATGTAGTTGAGACTGACCTGGAACTCACTATGAACTCACAGTGATCCTCCTGCCTCAGCCTCCCAAGTGCTGGGATTACAGGCATGTGCCACCATGCCCGGCTCAAAAGTATCTTTTTTTAATGCCACAGTCTTATACAACTTGGTAGATATTTGCCTATACTGGAAACAAGATAAAGTAAGTTAGACTCTACTCTATGGGGAGAGTCAGTTCTTATCTCAACGACATCCATGACTGATTCATTCACTTAGGAATAAAATATTTTTTAAAATTTATTTTTTGAACTTTTCGCTTTTTTGAGACAGCCATACTATGCTGTCCAGGCTAGCTGTGAATTCACTACGGCAATCTTCCTGCGTCAGCTTTTCAAGTGCTCAGATTTTAAGTGTTCCTATTATACCTTGTTTATTCAGATGATAGTAGGCATAAGCAAGATCAAGATTCAGAAAGGTACTAACAACAACATAAGCAGTTACTAATTATTAGAAATGATGGCACTTCGGAAGCTGAGGCAGAGGATTACCACGAGTTTGAGGCCAGCCTGGGCCACGTGAGTTCAGGGCCTGCCTAAACTACAAAGAGAGACCCTGCCTCAGAAAATCACCCCCACAAAAAAAGAACTAGAAAAAGAAATTGTTAAACCAGGTACTAGTATGTGCCTATAATTTGAGCAGGCAGGAGGCCAAGGCAGGATCACAATTTTTTTTTTTTTTGTTTTGATACTAAGGATCGAACTCAGGACCTTGCGCTTGAGGCAGGTGACAGAACCACTGAGCTAAAACCCCTGCCCCAGCATCACAATGTTTAAGGCCAACCAGGAGATCCTGTCCCCCAAAAAACAAAACAAGTAAATTGTTAAAATAAGGAACTTTCCATCTGGTATTATCTACTTCTAAGTTGAGTGTTCATATAAGGACCTCAGGTCTATAAACTGAATAAGTCATAACCCTTGGTTCATGATTGGTCTAGGCAAGGTTTATTAGTCTGATGCAGTTAGGCACGTAAGTAAGCTAAATCGCTGGCCCTGCACTTTTTATTTATAAGAGTTGGCACTTTTGTTTGAGTTCTCTCTCCGTTCATTTTTGACAGGTATGCAATATTCCATTATAACAATATAATATGATTTTGTTTGCTTTGGGGGGGTACCAGGGATCAAGCTTGGGTCCTTGCACTGGGTGTGATGGTGCATGCCTGTAATCCCAGCACTCGGGAGGCTGAGGCAGGAGGATTGCTGTAAGTTTGAGACCAGCCTGGGCTACATAGTGAGTTCCAGGTCAGTCTCAACTATGTAGTGAGACCCTGTCTCAAACACCCCCCGACAAAAAAAGACTTGGATCCTTTCGCTTACAGGGCAGATTGCAGAACCACTGAGCTAAATCCCGAGTCCCTAATTTTGTTTACTTTTTGAGAAAGAGTCTCACTATGTAGTACAGAGTAGCTTTTTTTTTTTTTTTTTGTGGTACCGGGGATTGAACTTGGGTCCTTGCTCTTGCAAGTCAGGCCACTGAACTGCTGAGCTAAATCCCCAGCCCTTGAGTAGTTTGAATTTTTGATCTTCCTGCCTCATCCTTCCTAATTCTGGGATTACATTGGCTTTACTTTTTTTTTTTTTTGGTACCAGAGATCGAACTCAGGATCTTGCACTTGCAGGGCAGGCGGTGGAACCACTGAGCTAAATCCTCACCCTCCAATTTTTCTTTGAGACAGGGTCTCACTGTAGCTCAGGCTGTCCTTGAACTTGGGATTCTCCTGCTGTAGCCTCCAGAGTTTTGAAATTGAAGGTGTGAGCCATGACCCCTGGCACACATGGCAGTTGATCCATTTGGTTGGAAAATATTGGCTTGTTACTGACTTTTGCTTTTGCTAACAGTACTAATGAGAATACCCCTGTTCATAATGTCCTGTGTACATGCACAAGAGTAACTCTTAGATGCATGTTACTTAGCATAGAACATACATTCAGCAAATGCTTTGATTTTCTTTGTTCCTCTCTCCCTACTCTTTGCCCTTCCTTGCCTTTACCCCTTTCCCTAACCTTCCCCATTCTACAGTGCTTATGAAGTGATCAAGCTCAAAGGCTACACATCCTGGGCCATTGGACTGTCTGTGGCAGATTTGGCAGAAAGTATAATGAAAAACCTTAGGAGAGTGCATCCAATTTCTACCATGATTAAGGTTGGTCTGTGTACAGCTACATTGTATTTGAATGCTGTATTTCTATATTCCTGTGTGTGTGTGTAGCAGGTTAATGGAAATAATGTACTCTCAGCCTACTTATGGAAAGAAATAGTTGGCCCGTATTACTGTCTACTACATTGTTGGGCGCGTAGATTCTGGGGTTTTTTTGTTTTTGTTTTTGTTTTTGGTACCGGGGATTGAACTCGGGACCTTTTGCTTGCACATATTGCACATAGATTCTTGATAACTTAATTAAAAAGCTCGTGTGTGTGTGTGTGTGCGCGCGCATGCATGTTTGTGTGTGTGTGCGCTCTTTTGTGATAAGTAGAAAGCACAGGGTTGCCAAAGTATTATACAATAAACATTGGAGAGCACTATATGTAATAGCGAGTGAGAGTTACCGTGTTTTTTGGTACCGGGATCAAACTCTTGGGACCTTGGGCTTGCAAGGTAGGTGGTAGAACCACTGGGCCAAATCCCCAGCCCTGAGGTTTTATTTTTTAGAAAGGACATCTTGAGCTGGGCAAGGCCAGAAAACAAATAAAACACCAAAAAAATCTTGTTGTTTTAATGACTTTGTTTTTTGTTGCTATTTAAAGACTTATATACTATACACAGTATCACAGCTGAACCTCTGGAACTTTTTTGTTTTCTGTTCTCAGGGTCTCTATGGAATAAAAGACGACGTCTTCCTTAGCGTGCCTTGTATCTTGGGGCAGAACGGCATCTCAGATGTTGTAAAGGTGACCCTGACTCCTGAGGAGGAGGCGCGTTTGAAGAAGAGTGCGGATACCCTGTGGGCGATCCAGAAGGAGCTGCAGTTCTAGTCTTCCTGTGTCACACCGCCTCGCTGTCTGGGCTACGAGGGGATGTAGATGGAGGCTGTGCGTGTTTTCCTTTTTTTATCTGCTCTGTGGTTGAAGCAGTCGTAGCATTAAGATGGCCTGGGGAAATCATCAGTTTCCCAAAGTTAGAAATAGAAATGGTTCAGAAAGCCCCACAGTTGTATCCTGATGCTGGATGGCACTTGTGTAGTCCTAACCTGGTTAGTATAAAGTAGCCCCACCATCTCAGACACCACGGCCAATACCGCACAGGCTCCAGTCGCCCTTTGAACCAGATGTGTGTTGCTCTGTTGTGTAACTTCACCAACCAAGCCTAAGTCTTTTTCCCAGTTGGTCACAGCCTGGGATTCAGTGTATAAATCCAATGCTGCATGTCTACGCATAACTGTTTTAAAGGATTTTATTTTGTGTATTATATATATATCAGTAGTGTACATTGCCATATAATGTAAAAAGGAAAGATCTACCTGTGAACGGTGTAACCAAGTGTCAAACCAACTACAACACCAAATAAACCTTGAACAGTGACTACTCTTGTTAATTTATTGAGATACTAAGTCGTAGACACCATTTTCTCATTACAATATTGTTTTTAAATCCTACTGTTGACTAGTGAGCAGACTTTCATTTAATACAAATTTGTATTTTAAGGCTGTTAAAAAAGACGTAACTAGCTTGAGTTGTTTAGATACTACTAGCACTATAATAAATAATTTGACATAATTTATACCTGTATCAGTCACTGTCCCATTACTGGAACAAAAGACCTATGTCTGAAGGTGGAGAGATTTATTTTGGCTTCCCGGTTTCAGAAGCTCCATTCCATGGTTGGCTGCCTCAAAGGCAGAAACAGGCATAGTAGAAGGGGCTGGCAGAGGAAAGCTGCCAATCCATGCCAGGCAGGAAGTAGCAGGACAGTAAGAAGCCTTCTTAATCCTTCCCTGCCCATGCCACCATTTCCAACCAAGCCTTTCCTTCTAACTGCACACCCATCTAGACAGTGTCCCCATGGCCAGTCACCTGCAACAACTCCACTTCTGAACACGAGGCTTGTACTTTTTAAACCACAATAGTATCCTATAGCTCATGTAGGTATCAGTTATATATGAAAGTTAAATTCCAATTTAAAGGATGTTATATTTCCTCTGGGGTACACAAATTTTTGAGGCTCTACCAGTTAGCCATTCTAAACCAAGTAGTTCTGGTGGTTCTCTACTGGAAATTTTTCTTTAGATAGCCCTCAAAATATTTTTGTTATTGACGCCTATCCAGGCCTGAAAATTGTAGAGGAATTAACTGTAAAGATTGTTGTTTCACTTCAAGTTGTTTTTTTCCCAGTTTTGGGAGCTAGTTAGGAAAATGAAATTTGTAATACCCCTCCCATATAGAATGACAAAATTGGTCAGTATAGTTTAGACAATTTGCTATAATTGGATTTGGATTTTGCTACCCTATAGACTTCAAAAGGAGCATAGTTAAAGTCTAATTTATATACCAGAAAATTCACTTAAGGTGGGGCTGGAGTTCAGTGGCGCTGCACCTGCCTAGCAAATGCAAGGTCATGAGTTCGATCCCCAGTACCAAAAAAAATTCACTTAGGGTATACAATTAATGCCCATGGATCCCAGCACTTCTGGAGGCTGAGGCAGGACTGAAGAGTCTGAGCCCAGCCTAGGCAGTTTAGAAGTTTGGGCAGACTAAATAAGCACTGAGGATATAGCTCAGTGTGAAAGCGCTGGGTTTAACTCCCAGTAGCAGGGAAAAAACAGACCTCAAAGCAGTATTTTTTTAAAAAAATCTTTACCCACCAGGGATTTAGCTCAGTGGTTCCACTGCCTGCCTCGCGAGTGCAAGGTCCTGAGTTCGGATCCCTGATCCAAAAAATTCTTTACCTCATGCCTACTGTACTGTGGTAGATAATGTGGTATTCAGGAGTGAAGTAAGATAAATCTTGACTCATATTTACAACACTGCAATCGAATAAGCTAAAGTTTGCTTGGAATACTTGGGCAGATGGGAAGAGCAATTTCTCTTCACCTAGCATGAGTTTGGTCACTACCAAGATGGCAACCTCCCCTGTCACCAGGGTTCTGAGGCAAGTGTACAGCTTGAATTTGTAGGTCACCTCTACCCCAGTGGTATAAGTGAGGTTACTATGGAAGTACACGAGCAAATGATTTTACCAATACTAAGTGCCACGCCCGTTCACTGAGAGGGAAGGGCATGACCATCTTGGCGCTGGTAGGTTGAGAAAAGCGCCGTAAGAGAAACAGAACAGAGCCAGGCATGGTGATGCACGCCTGTAATTGCAGCACTTGGGATGCTGAGGCAGGAAGATCACTGAGGCCACCCTGGGCTACACAGTGAGTTCAAGGCCAGCCTGAACTACATAGGGAGACTCTCAAAAAACCAAAGGGGGTGTGGGGGAGAAACAGATATGAGGAGTTGTGGTAGTTGACATATTAATCAAGGAAAGCTGCAGGGAGCATGGTTTATTGTACACCCGACCTGAAAGTGAGGACTTAACCTCAAAGCCTGGGGGAAGAGCATTCTAGGTATAGAGAACAGTAAAAAAAAAAAAAAAAAAAAAA